TATATATATATATATATATTGATTAACTCATAACCATGGAAGAATAAAATAGTATGAATCCAACACAATACCTCTAAACCTCAACCCAACAGTTTAACCACTATGCTACATACAAACTTTTATTTTCAATTATAATTTTTTCTATATGATGTGAGAAACGTGTGGAATTTATTATTATTATTATTATTATTATTATTATTATTATTATTATTATTATTATCACTCAAAACGTAAATAAAGAAATTATTTGTTAAATTCGATTTTATCAATATTATCCAATAAATAATATATAAATACATTTTAAATACGTATTTATACATATAAATACATTTTAAAAATACGTTTCTAAATACGTTTTCAAAAATATATTTTTATATATGTTTTTAAAAAAGTGTTTATTATATAAAAACATACTTTTTTACAATGTAATTAAAAATGTATTTTGGAAACGTGTTTTCAAAAAATATATTCAAATATGTATTTTGAAAACGTATTTCTCTAAAAATGTATTTAAAAACTTATTTTTTACAACATATCTAAATACACTATATTTATTTTTGTTTTGTAATAATAATAATAATAATAATAATAATAATAATAAATACCATCAGTTTCTCACATTATATAGAAGAAATCAGAGTTCAAAAACAAAAGGTTGTTTATGTCTTAGTGGTTAAAGGTGTTTGCTTATATTTTGGAGTTCCTGGATTCGATTCCGACTACTTCTTTTTTCACGTTTATCATTCTGAGTTATTGAATATGTTAATATAAATGAAATCAGCATCTAATAAACACAAAAGTTTCTAGCTTGGTTGGTAAAGGCGTGTGGGCGTTATTAACTCGAGGAACCGAGGTCGAATCGTACTTCCGTCGTAGTTTTTCTTTTTCAATAAAACAAAACATAAGGTGACGTGGCATGCATTGTCAGCTGCCATGTCAGCAATTATTGCCAAATCAGATGTCACATCAGCATTTACCGGTTCAATAGGTAAAAAAGGGTCAAACTGATTACATTAGCCGGTATTCTGTCCTTTTTCGTTAACAAAAATTAATTTGGGACTAAATCATAAACTAGGCCAAAACTTTGAGACTTTTTCGGAGATTTCCCTTAATTTTATGACTAAAGTTGATGAGTATTAAACAAGTTAGGTTGGGGTAGAGTCCACACTTGTTTGAGTTTATTCAATACTGAAAGTACATTGTCATTTACGGGTGAATCCCCTGAACCGACAGGGGACCAAGTGCAGCGCCCCTGGAAGTGGGGTCCAAGGGACAGAGCCCCCTAGTTAGGGTCGGTCAACAGGAGGTTATTTCCCTATTATTGGTCATTTTCGTTTGAACTCTCTAGTACACATACAAGATCATAACATAATATCATACTCTCTTCTTTCACTTATAATTGAGTTTTATCCGATTAAAGATTTCAAGAGTACCATCAAATTACTTTGATCTAAAAGTGTAATTCACGACTCTCAGTTTTCCAACTATTCTAAACAACTCAATTTTCTAACATGTAGCACGTCCAAGCTAAACATTAAAGTGGACCTCCAAAATCATAGATAGGTTATATGCCCACTCACACATTCACATAAAAGGTAGCTACTCTTATATGCAAGTGAGGCAGTATCTAGACTCTAGAGGACCATTACTAGTAATAATTTAAACTTATCAAAGTCATCTACCATGGATTTTCTGTTAAATAAACACAAGTCATTCCCATCCTAACATGAATTCATATGGTTGCACATAGTCATGAGAAAAGTCATTTGAAATTCATAATAGTTATTAAGTCTGTAAAACATATTTAGGAAGCATAATTTCATGTACGAACACATAAATACATATTATATTCCACATAACAAGCAAGTTTGTAAAACACTTAGTCATTCTTCATTTCATAAAAACATCATCTTTTATTTTCATGGGGACATGTATTCAGTAATTACTCATTTTAGTCCAAAGTTATCCTTCTTCACCATCAAGGTATGTAAAAGCTTCAAACACACCCTTTATCCTCAAGAATAATATAGTAACTCAAGTGTCACCTAATATCATTAAAAGTTTTATTAAAATTCAATAATGTGATCCATTAAGTCACTTATTAATATATTAATCCTAAATTGAAATTTTATTATATCAAAGTCTTCTTCATGTTAAAAGTGAACGCAGGAAAAAACAGGGATTAATATGGAAGTCAGATGCAAAAGATATGACGTTTACAAGTTTTTTCTGTCTTGGTTCCTAGGTCTTATGTGGACATGGTAGAAATCTACACAGACCGCATATGAAATCTATGTATTTTATATGAAATTTCCGTTATGCGTGGACCAAGTAGAATTATATGCATACCACAAAACTTTGCAAGATTTTTTTTGTCTAAATCATTTCTACTTATTCCCAATTTCATCAAGGATTAGTCCATCTACATTCCCTTAGCTTAAAAGGATATTTAAACAACTTATTTTAGTCCTGACACATATGTTACCCAAAACCAAATCTTATTTCATACATGAATTAATGGTTAAGACTCTTTTGATATCACAAGAGCTATAAGGACCTCTTGTAGACATTAACGCCCTCATTAAGTCAATAATCTATTAATAGATTCAGAGTTCATTACCAAACACTTGAAGTAAAACAAGTGTCACTAATTTCTAGATAACGTCTACTAGATTCATATTCAATTCAAACAATCTAAATTGTAAAACCAATTCCAAACCAAGTTGTCATTCCAACCACAACTAAAGTGTTGTGGTGATTCCAATTCTACAAATAAAGTTGTGAGACCAGTTGCATCATTAGTTTTAGTTTCTAAATCAGAAGTGTTCTATTTCACTTAGTTCATTACATCTATTAAATCATTTCCAATTTGAAGATTGAACTCTTTCCAAGTTCTCTGTTCCATTCCAATGATAGTTTTTATTATAGCAATGACAATTTTATCAACAACTTCAAAAGGAAACTATGGAATCACAACATGTACCAAATATGAACCTCTAATAACATTTGGTAATCTAGTGGCAATTTTTAACAAGTTTCACCATCAACAGACAACTCATTAAAGCATGAGTACAACCAAAATGTGGGTTTGGGGATTCAATCAACTCAAATCATCCAAGGGACCGAAATCAAACATTTCTATGGTGAAGTGTTGAACCAATGATAATTCTCCAAAATTTTATAACACCAACTCATGGAAAATCATTATCTAATGGCATAATTTCGGATTCAAGGATTTTCCACCATTTATGGACCTTTAAGCTTCCAATACTCACCAAACTCTACAATAATTAACTAGGGTTTGATACTATAGAGTGTAGGAGTACACATGCTAAAAGAAACATCAATTCTAACAACTAATCACTACTTCAATCACCATTTAGGGAAGTTGAAGAAATATCCCAAACCCTAGATTCTAATTGAGGGAAAAAAAGGAAAAGAAAACTACCTCCTAAGATCTTAGATGCTCACTTGCATTCAAACCCTTGCTTCTTATTTAATTGATTCGTCCAAATCACCATGAAATGCTTAGAATCGGTTCATGACAGCCTTGTTTCTCCTTTGAATTTTGATTCTCCCTTCAATGAATGATAACCCCAAGTATATACTCCTTCATGTTACATAATGGATATTTTAGTTTGATTTCTTTTAAATGTGACCCAATCGATTTCGTTAGATCCAATAGAGCGAATGTGACCGGCAAAGTCAATTGCACGGTGATGAGTGGAGTAACCTATGCTGCTAGTCGATTTCTAGTTTGGAGTCGATTCTTATACACCCAAAACCCTTAGGGGGTATTTAATTTTGTGTTGAAAAATCTTTTTTTTTTTTTTTTTTTTTTTTTGTGAAAATGCTTATTAGTTTATATGGAAAAATAATGAAATTTTTAGAAATGTGTTTTGATTAGCATATGTGGTGGCAAAAAGCTATGAGTTGTAAAATAAGCAAAAGGGTAGGAACAACGAGAAGAAAGGTAAAAGAGATTCAGGTTCATTAAGAGTACTATGGTCTTTTTATCTCAAAAAGTCTAAGGAGTTTGAAGAAGTTATGATAAGTGATTTCTTGAAAACTCCTTCTTATATGTGGGCAAAAGTCATTTTGAAAAGATATTTTCGTTATCAAACCACTCAATTTAGCTTATATTGGCTTTTAAATTCTTGACTTCTTAAAAAACCAATAAGTCAATAAGTCATTTTTAAAAACAAAAAGAGTAGAGTACGTGAGGAGTTTTGAACTGAGCAATCAAAGACCATGAAAAGGGTCGATCAATACAAGTTGGAAACAAAAGAGAAACCACTTTTTTTCAAGATGGCCAACAAAATGACAAAGGTCTCGTGTTTGTTAAAAAGATGACATAAGTTTATGACATACAGGTACGTATGTCGTAATCCCTTCAGATTTGACAAAATATGACGTTATATTTATGACATTTATTTTTGTCTGTCGTAAATGTAGTGCGTGTCGCAATTCATGTCATTAAAAACCGTTTTTTTAATAATATAAAAATGAATACTACTACATTGCTATTTTTAATGTTTATTGATATTTATATATAATTACTTAGTAAAAATACCACACGACAATCTATGTGTGGCCATATTATACACATGGCCGCCAAGTTGTGATGCCGCATAAACAATTTATCTATTGCGACGCAGACAACACTTGAAACAAAAATAAAAGGGTTAATGATTTGTATAGTAAGAAACTATGTCACATGTACATGAATGATCACCTTAGTGTTTCTATATATCTTATGTTCTTAAAGCAAATTTTGTGTTCAAAATTTGTCATTCTAACCAACTGTTACCTATTAAACCCGTTATTGGCATCTTTGCCGAGTCTTCAGGAAATTTTTGGAGAACTAATTCAATAGATACTCAGGAAAGACGATCCTAGATACGACAAAAATGCCAATAACTTAGATGGCCATAACTTGAACAAAAGATATTTACTTTAATAACATATTAGAATGAAAGTCACAATAATATACACGGAACATTATTTTTTTTTCCATTACTTTTTTTTATCCTTACAGGTTATCAATCCGAAATCAACCTAACAATCTTATATATTTCTTTCATATAATTTCCTCATATTTATCCTATTATAACAAACCAATCATTTTCCTTGTAAAATGTATAAGCTCAAAATAATGAGTAATCTTAATGATAACATATTTGGTATATTTGACTAAAGATCTACCTCGATATTGCCAATTATGGTTGGGGTTGATAAGATTATAGTTGCCTACTCGCTATATTTTTATTATATATAACTCTTTCTACAAACTCTAACGCCATAACCACCTAAATCCACATCATGTGTACCTTAGAAAAGCGCGGGAACGTCTTCTTCCTAACTCTTACCGGCGACGGCGAACACCGCCTCAATCCTACTTTCATCTCCTCCATCCGTTCAGCTCTCTCCGAGGTTAAGTCCCAATCCGCTACCGGCTCTGCTCTCGTCACCGTCGCCGATGGCAAGTACTTCTCAAATGGTTTCGATCTCAACTGGGCCATATCCACCTCCGGTGGGTCTCCTTCCAAGGCAGTTGATCTCCTCCGCCAAATGGTAGATCTCTTCAAGCCACTCGTCGCTGACTTAGTATCGCTTCCTATGCCAACAATCGCCGCCATTACAGGTCACGCCGCCGCTGCAGGGATGATTCTCGCGATTAGCCATGATTACATCTTGATGCGGCGTGATCGAGGTTTTCTGTACATGAGTGAGATCGACATAGGGATGACATTGCCGGACTATTTCACAGCCATGATGAGATCGAAGGTGGGAAAGCCGGAAGCCAGGAGAGATATTTTGATTCGGGCTGTGAAGGTGAAGGCGGAGGAGGCGGTGGCAATGGGGTTTGTTGAGTCGGCGCATGATAGTGTTGAGAGTACGGTGGAGGCTGCTGTGCGCATGGGGGAGGATTTGGCGAAGAGGAAGTGGGATGGTGAAGTGTACTCCGAAATAAGGAAGTCTTTGTATCCAGAGTTATGTGGGGTGCTAGGCTTGATCACTAAGGAAGTTGTAAAGCCACGATTTTAAATTTGTGGAGGGGTGAAACATTATTTTTAGATCTTTGTGGTTGATTATGTTGTTTGGTCAAACTCAAAGGGTTTATGTTTTTCTAATAAATTGAAATGATTTGTATTATTATAGATAGACCTTGTAATATATATATATATATGTGACATGGATACATAAATTAGTGAGAGACACGAATACATCTTAGGGATACAATAGCTCTTCTTCATACATATACAATAATTTTTAAAGCATAAATTATTATGGATAAAGAAAAACTATTATAAGATCGGGCCAACTGAAAGTGGGTTTTTGCATATTAATGATTCAGATTGACCTGTCGGGCTTTACAAAAAAACTGTAGAACCGGTGACTATTGACCCGGTAAAAACTCGGTTCAATATAAAATCTGAAATATAAAACCTTATTAAAAACACTCAAACACATGCCTTGCCTGATTCTTTTCATTGCCCCATTCTTTAAATGTAAACCCTTGAAAACACTCAAATAAGTGCCTTCGGTCTTCCACGGTTCACAACTTTGAAAAATCAAAGTCTTTGCTCCTTTACTCATTTAGCAAATCATAGCTTTCAGTTCGTCTTTCGGTCTTCACATGTTCGTCCTTTAGTCCCTTTTAAGCTATAACATATGAATACCGGTTTCATGAACATAAATTTTTATGTAAAACGCCACGAAAGTAAGGAGGTTTGTTTGGATCTTCTATCGGCTATGATGCATGGAAACGCCTAATATGGAGCCGCTCCCGTATCTGAAACGTGGGGGAAACGCCGGGAAACGTTTCCGGCAAGTATCGGCAAACCCAGAAACGTTTCTGGTAAGTTTCATAAACATTTCCAATTTTTTTTTTTTTTGCATGGGCTTTTTCTGTCCGCTAATGGAGTAATGGGATGTAGTTCTATTGTAATTGATATTACCCTACAATTAGTCAATTACAAAGCCTAAACGGCTAAACCCATCGCTGCCTGAGTGCCTCCTTGGTGAACGACGTTTACTGCCTTGCGCCATTGCCTCCTGTGTCGTCGATCAAGATGACAAGAACAAGAAAAAATTGAGATTACACTTTACTGTAAAGTCTTTACATAATTTGAAATTTCTTTTATATATATATATATATATATATATATATATATATATATATGTTTTTTTATATTTTTTTATTGCCATATCTCTGCCGTATCCGTATCTTGAATTTTTGAGTTTTGCAGTTTCCCGTTTCCGTTCCGTATCCGTTTCCCGTTGCCGTATCCGTTTCCGTGCAACTTAGTCTATCGGTCCAATAAATATGATTCCAAACGACTCTTCATAACTTCCAAATCCACGGTCTTTCTGATTTGTGACGATTCAATCATTATGATTTATAGTTGTAAAAGTTTGTGATTTACTGATTCGATTACAACTTCAATTCGGTCTTTTTGATTAGTAATTACTTGCTGCAAAACACCACTAAATGTATTTTGCTTAGGGAGGAGGGAGTCATTCCCTCCCAACCCACTGAACCCACTGCCACATCACTTTTTCTCTTTTGTTTTTCTTCATTTTTCCGAACCCACAACACACGGAAATCGTATCTTTTTGAACCCACTCAACCCACTCAATTAAAAAAAAAGTACAAAACAACTAAGGTAAAAGTTTTAAAACACATGGTATAAGAGAAAATAAGAAAGAGAAAGTAGAGAGAGATGATGAAGTGGGTTAGTGAAACCAATCAACCCACTCGTTGAAGTGGGAGTGGTACCGCCGATAACTCTATTGCTAATTAAGATTTTACATTTGATTGTTTTGTATATTTTTTTTAATTGAGTGGGTTGAATGGGTTCAAAAAGATAGGATTTCCGTGTGTTGTGGGTTCGATGAAGAAAAATAAAAGAAAAAAAGTGATGTGGCAGTGGGTTTACTGGGTTGGGAGGGAATGACTCCCTCCTCCCTTAAAGTGCCTTGGAATTTCAGCTGTTTTGTCTCATCAACGGATCAACGGATAGCTAAAAATTCTATTAATTTGCTTTTAAATTTTTTGTTAATTTGGTAGTTAAAAATTATGTTGCTTAAACTTCCTATGGGTTTCAATTGTTAATTGGGATTGATCTAAAATTTGTTGTTATGTGTTTTATTAATGTTTGAACACATGGAAATCAATTTCTAAGTTTTATATATACTTGCATACTAATATATATATAAAATGCATAAAATTATGAAAATTGAGTATACCCGATGGTTGAACCTGTTGACCCATGAATTGGTCACCACTGATAAACTAAAACTAGGTTTAAAACATTTCAAACCACCACCACACTCCATATCAACAACCCCGCACCTTTTTATTTTTGTGAGCATACAACCATGCACCACAACACCCTTTCACTTTTCTTAAATTTTAATATTTTTAAACATTTTTTTGAACTACTATAAATGTAGAAATAATAAAACATAAAAATATCATTGAAAATAAAATTTAACAACATTACATAACGAATATACGAAATAGATTACATTCCAGTAGAGTTGTAAACGAACCGAACAAACATAAATAAAAGTTTGTTCATGTTCGTTCGTTTAAGTTAACCTAATAAATGAACGAAAACACACGACTTTTCTTGTTTGTGTTCGTTTGTTTAACAAATTATCTTGTTCATGTTCGTTCATTTATTTTCGTGAACATGCTAAATGAACATAAACGAACAAAGCTAAACAAACACAATTGAGCATATATGAATATAAACGAATATATAATAATAGTAATGTAATAAAAAAACAATTGAACATATATGAACATAAATAAACTTAAACAAACAGACATAAAGAAACATAAACGAACAACACAAACGAATGTTCATGAACATAAATGAACAAACAATATCATTATTTATGTTCATTCGTTTAACTAAACGAACACAAATTTGTGGTCATGTTCGCTCATTTATTAAATAAATGAACATAAACGAACTTCTCGCCGAACGGTTCGAGGATTGTTCAATTCGTTTACAGCCCTACATTCCACTATTTTGATATATTTTTAGCAATTTCCTTTTACATCGCTTGAATCGTAACTATGGCTTCTTCCATGTCTTTCTTCCATGTTAAAGTTCTCAACTCACAATCTTCTTGCGTTCTTCTTTCCTATCACAATGTCTTTTCTTTTGAATTGTAATTGCTCATCGCAAGTGGTAGCAAATTTGTTTATTTTATCGACTAATTCTTGCACCAATTCGACTAGTAGGACCAATTTTTTTTTATTTTTTATGATGGACCAACTTTGCTTGTTCTATCTCTCCCGATAGGCATTGCTGTTCTTTAATCATGTCATTGAATTCGTTGAGGTTGAGAAAGCTTCGTGTGACGAGTGATCACGTTTATTCATTTGCATGCGATGTAGTAATTAATTTCGAAGACGCGTTCGGAAGAGGTGTCGATGCCCACCTTGGCAGAACTCTCATAATATTCCAAACCTTAATTTGGCTAAATGCCAACGCGTAGCTTGTCAAAAGGTATTCCTTGAGAGCTTTCTTGAAAATAATATTGTCACTTTCGCCACTTTTCCAACTCATCACTAAATTATTGTAGATTCTGCTAAATTTGAACAATTTCGCATGTATGTCCTTCCGCTTGGTATATATTTGGTGTTTTGACCGATTATGTTTTTCAACGAATATTACTCTATTAAATGCTTGCTCATTGCGCTTCCTATAAGAATCAAACTTGTGTGGATTTCGTTAACAGAATCCTCAGTGGTCTCAATGTTGGTGGTTGCCAATGCCGTCTCTTTTGTTGGGATCCACTTTTTAGGGGTATCTTTTTATGGCTCTTCCAGTTCCCCTATTGTTTCTTTCTGTCAAGAACCCTCTAGTTACGAATCAGGACTGGTTTCAGGTTGTGTTTGCAAGATCACTTCAACATATTCATCTTATTTTTCCTTAAGGGGTTGGGTTTCAGGTCGGGATACTTAAAAAAGGTTTCGAGGAGACATAAAACAAGGTTGATTCCATTTAGTAATTTGGTATTATAGAGTTGACTCCATTTGCAGGTAATAGACCACAGTATCGAGACGGAAAAGATCGGTGGGTGGTGCATTGGAATGAGGTGAGTTAATTACAAGACGGATTCATTTTTCCAATTATTTGCAAATGGTTGAGTTGTGTGGTGGTTTTATAAAAAAATGGTTGTACATGATTTAAAGTTGTTTGCTCTATTTCATGTCTTGGTTGTACATGATTTAAAGTTAATTTACATGATGTTTTCTCACAAAGTAATTAAGGATAATAAGTATATATTTTTAATAAAATTCATTTTATATTTGATGAAGATGAATGTTATCTTTAGGATTTATGGGAAAAGAATAGTGAATGTTATCTTTAGGATTTATGGGAAAAGAATAGTGAGTCAATTGGTATGTATTATATGAATCATTGTAAGTATAGTGTCAGAAATTAGTGTCTGTCCATTATTGTGTATATAAGTGTACATGGCATAATAGGTTGGGTCATCCCTCTGATCCAATATTTATTGTTTTAAAGTAGAACCTTGAGCTTGGTTGTGAGACACTTCCACGTATGTCATAAAGCGAAGCATACTAGAACGCTATATTCTCTTAGTAACCACAAGACTTCTAAAATTAGAGTGTTAATCCAATTAGATGTGTGGAGTCCCTATAAGGTTTTACTATGGAAGGATTCAAATTATTTTCTACTATTGGTGATGATAACTCTAGGTTTTGGTTTTTTCTTTCAAAAAATAAACTTGAAGTTTTTGAAAATATTGTTATTTTCTTTAATCTCTTACAAACATAGTTTGAAAAACATATTAACGTACACAAAATTAATAATGGTACTAAGTTTTTAAATCATAATTTTGCTTTCCTTTTTCTATTGAAAATGGAATATTTCATCAAACAACTTGCATGTCAACTCCACATCAAAATGGTATTGTTGATAGGAAGTACATGTATCGTTTAGATGTAGCAAGATCCATTTCGTTTCAAAGTGGAATGCCTTTGAAATATCAGGGAGATGTTATTATCATGGTCGCATACTTGATTAACAGAACTCCTTTTTCTGTTTCAAAGGACATGTTTCATTTTGAGTTGGTTTATAAACGTGTTCCTTTTTTAAGTCACTTGAGAATTTTTGGTTGTCTATGTTTTACTACAAAGGTAAATCTTGGTGATAAATTTGAGCCACGTTATAAAAATGAGTTTTTTTTTTTTTTTTTTTTTTTTTTTTTTTTTTTTTTTTGCGATATTCTACTTTCAAAATGGATACAAAGTGCTTAATTTAGAAAATAATAATTGTTTTTTTTCACAGGCATAATGTTCTAAGAAGATATCTTTCCATTCAAAGTGTCTACTAGTGTAGACAATAGTGATGTTGTGAATGAAGACATGATATTAAATTTTTTAGCACTGACCCATTGGCTGGTTCATGGATACCCGATGATGATATTAATTTTTTAAATACGAAATATGTCAATCAGGTACCTAATTTAAGTGTTCAAAAGTTGAATACAAATTATTTTTCAATGTTTGATCATGGTGACCGCACTTTGAGTGTCGATCAGCCATATGTAAATGGTTCTGATAGTCATGTCTTTAATGCTAGTTTGGTACCTTTGGGTGGACATGGTGATGACCACAGTCAAGATGAGAATGACATATGTTTCCTAAGGGTAATAGTCACCATAGGCCTTCAGCCATAATCTTTTTCCTTTCAAAGAGTAACCTATATTCGCCTTACTTTTGATACCTTTATAGCCACATGTCTTAAACCGTGATTTAAGCCCTTGAAAATCCATGGCATGGGGTAAAATTGAGGGTATATGGTAGCGATTTAGTTGTAATCAGTCATTTTGTGATACCATGGCTGTAACATACTAATGGTCACAATTTTTATATTTATCATGACAAGTGGTTACTTTTAGACAAATACTTTAATAAAAAATATTGTGACCATATATGTAATTAACAACACTATTTCTTTTATCTTTATCATGAGTTCATCACAATATGTCACTTTTAGATACACATTATAATATAAAACTATGAACATAAGACACTTAAAGTTGATGTTTATTTATCTTTACCATACAATAAGTTACTTTTATACTCATATTACATATTAAACTGATCATATAATACATATAGTCACTGTTTTTTTATTTGTAATACATATAATCAATATTTTTATATCTTAGTTATCATGAGAATTAGTTACTTTTAGACACACACTTGAATACAAAATAATAATAATAATAATAATAATAATAATAATAATAATAATAATAATAGCAAAATAAAAATAAAAATTGTGGCCATAAGATACTTATAATGTAAAGCCATGATTTTCACCAACTTGATGTTAATATATTATTTATAAGAATTTGATCATTGATAAATATTTATATTTCTTGTATTTAATTCGATTTTTTTATTTTATGTAAATAATATTTTACCAACATAAATAGAATTACTATTCGTAGGAAATAATAATAAAAAAGAATATTAATTAGTTATATTCATAAGGCATGTATATGTAAGTTATGTACATTTACTTGGACACTTTGAGTAACTATCTAGTTTGTATATGTAACTATATAGTCACAAGCTTGAGTGAACATCACACAAACCCTCCCATCACCCCTTAAAGCCGTAGACTTCATATGGGAGGGAAAGGTTTGCTCGTGATGTTACTTTTAACATCTCATTCATGTTATAAGAGCATGCTTTGACTTGTAAGATGGTATGGTCCATTTCTAACTTGTGTTATTATATAAAGAAGAGAGTGAATAAAAATATAGCTATTTTTTTAACATACTTCTTCTCATATTTTCTCTCTAAATGTCGTGGGCTTCCCAGGCTTCTTCCCTCCCTTCCCTAACAAATTGTTGTGTAGAGTTTGAGTGCTTATTAGTTGCTTCTTCTTAAAACCTATTTGGTATATGTCTTTAAGGCTTAAGAACAACTAATATATACAAGAAGGATTAGAATCCATGTCAATTTGAATAATTTAGTGTTTCTCACTAAGGTGGGGTTCCACTCTACATTCTTCATCAACTTCTAAACTCCCAAGAGGAACCAAAGTTTTCAAAGGTTGTAATATTTTCTTCCTATGGTTGCTTTTTAATCTTTCCATACTTTTCAAAATGATTCTTGGTGGGTTAAAATGGTTTTAAAATGATTCAAAACTTATGTAAGTCCCTGAACTCGGATCTATCAAAGTATCAATGCAATTGTTTGAATTAATGCAGAATCTTAATTAAAAAATGATGCGAAACAGTCAATTCAATATATCAAGAACACGTTTCAATAAGGTGAATGCACACAATTCTATTGAATAATCGTCAAGTACATTTAATCACTCTTCAGCCGTGAATCACTAGTGTTCACCAAAAAATGCATAAGCCTTGAACGACTATACACATACCATATATATATATACTAAACCGATAACCTAAAGCCCATACATAATAAGCCCACCGAGAACACACTAAGCCCACCGAAATTACTAGGAGATTTCGATCCAAACCGAGAACAACATAATACATTAAAAACAAAGCATAAACCACTAAATATAGCCCAACAATCTCCCCCTTGGTTTATTTCTTTCTGTTCTCTTCAGGATTCTCTACAAGATGAACATCTGCTTGGTCAAACGCCCCTGTCCACAGCTTCTTGTCGATAATTGTAGCTACCATTCCAGTAAAAGCTTTCGCGGCAGCTTCAAATAGTTCATTCTTTACGATAATCTAAAAGTTTAATAAAGTGTGAATATCACGTTCTCCAAACTTCAACAAATCTTTGGGATCAACAATACGAAACTGGTTTTACTTCAGCTTGATCAGCACCGTAGTAGTAGCCTCATCATAAACCCAAAATTGTATTGTATCCAAAGTTCCTTCAGGTAAGCGCTTGGGTAGAGGAATCCTTTTGGCTTGCTTTGTGGGTGGCCACATGATATTCACCATTGTTTTGTTGGTGCGTGGATCAATGACACCCTTGACCTTTTCAGTAAACGATGAAGCAGTCTTTAAGTCTTCAAAGTTATTTTTCGCTTTACTCTCAAGAAAATTCTTAAAAGACCATGCCATGGTATCATTGCTTGGATTGTGGAAAGGTGCGTGGATAAGTTCTGAAAGATCAAGTTTTGTCCAGGACATGAAGTCGAATTTCTTCTCATAATATTCAATTCTTACACTTTTTCGCTTCACGACCCACATCTTCTTTTCAGCATCATATCCCCACATGATTATGCCAGAACGATCACCATATTTGTCAGTGAACTTCTTTCCAGTTTCCCTGAAGAACATTTCAGGGTGATCACCTGGAGCATTTTGATCTGAGTTCTTCATCAAGATCATTTTCCCTTTCAGCCGCTCAACCCTAATTTGCTTCTGTTTTCTTTCTTGAGTAGAAAGAGAAGCAGAAGATAAGAATGTATCAAGATTAGCATCTAGAGCAGGTCTTGTAGCTCTTTCACTTGAATATTGTGAAGCTAGATTGGCGGGACCTGATCTAGAAGCAGTGATCTTTTCTCATTCGGCGCTCAAAGGTTGAAATTCATCACCAAACTTTTGAAATAGGCGCTGTTTCAGATCAAAGAATAGAGAAGTTAGAGCACTGAGATTTGCTTGAAGTTCTGAGATATTTGAATCTTTATTGGAGTTCTCTTTCTCAAGCTCGCTGATTCGAATGTCCTGCTTTCCAATAATCAAATGTTTTTCAGCAGAGCTTTATTCCAGATCAAAGACTCTGTTCTGAAGCAGAATAACATCAACTAATTCAGATTCATGCAACTTGCTTTTGCCTTTGGAGATATCCAGCTCGGGTGTTTCAAAAGGGCTTCCTGAAGCTTGAGGTCCTTCTGAAGGTATGACTACTTCTTTAACAACAGGGCTTTGAAAATCCTGATCCATAGGAATGGGCTCAGAGAACGGGCTTGATATTTCTTGAATCAATGGAGAGGTCTCAGTGAACGGGCTTTGTATGTTTTGAGCCATAGAACCAGAGTCAATTGGAGTAGATTTCTTTTGAACTGAGTCCGTGATATGCACTCCCGGCCTTGGATCTCTTCTTTTTCGCTTCCTTGGGAGTAAAGCGTGGGCTGAGTCTTCTGGATCACTTTCAGATGGAGGTTCAGTGTCAACAGGAACTGTTTAGGGAGGCTTTCTTGCAGTTTGCTGAAATTCTGCAATAAGAGTATCCATCTGTTCAGGGGTCGGTATGGAAGATTGCACCATTGTGTCACTTTCTCTTTCAGTCACAACCGGAGGTGTGACAGCTGCATCCTCTTCTCGGTTTGAAATACTTTGCTGAATAAAATCTTGATACTCATTTTCTGTCAATTCATTTTCTTGATCCTCTTGATCTTCTTCTGTTGGATATAGTGTCTAAGTCCATAACTATATTTGGTATGTACTTGACCCGACCCGACATGGTCC